CGAGACCCCAAATGATGAATATATAATCATTATGGATGATTTTAACACCCGTTGAAATAAAAGAAATAAAGAAATAAAAATACTCTGTTACGCAGACAACGCAAGATTAATAACTCAAGATGAAGATACTCTCCAAAGACTGGTCCACAGATTTAACATAATAGCAAAAGAATTTAATATGACAATTTCATTTCTCAGAAAACTAAAACAATAGTAATCAGCAAAGAACAAACCAGATGTAAAATAGAAATTGATGGCATCAGTATAAAACAATTAATGGACATAAAATACCTGGGAATTACACTGTCTAGCTATGGTGACCTGGATAAAGAAGTGAGAGATCAAGTACAAAAGCAAATAGACTGGCAGGATGCCTTAATAACACTATATGGCGAGACAGATACATTAACACTAAGATGAAGTCAAGAATTTATAAAGCCAGTGTAAGACCAATAATGACATATGCCTCAGAAATAAGATCCGACACAGCCACAACGCAAAGGCTACTGGAAACGACAGAGATGAGAGTACTAAAAAGAATTACAGGAAATACGCTTAGAGATCGAAAGAAAAGTGAAGACATTGGAAGACATGAAGGAGAATGGAGGAGACCCGTGTCGTCAAAATAGCAAGAGATAAGTCACCAATCAGCAGAAGAAATATCGGACGACCAGGCAAAAGATGGAGTAACAACCTTCCATAGAGGTACTAATCCTCCAATGAACAAGTAGAATTGCTTATAAATAAAAAGAAGAAGAAGAAGCTAGCATATACATCTAAAACCCGCGGTCCTGACAGGATATCTGAATTTGAAAGGTTGGAACAAGGCAGTAAATGAAAACATTTCTTTGCAATAATCATCTCAGTGTAGAACTAAGACAAAGAATGTTTAAGTGCTATATTTGGTCTGTACTTTTATATGGAGCATAAGTGTGGATACTAAAAGTATCAAGTATGAACAGAATTGAATCAATGGAAATGTGGATTCATTGACAGCTGCTATAGATACCTTGAACAGCAAGAAAAACTACTAAGAAACTACTATGAAGGGTCAACAAAGATAGAGAATTGCTAAAGACTGTTAAATATCGAAAAATATCTTATCTGGAACATATAGTGAGGGAAACTCGATATAGAATATTACAACTGATTCTTAAAGGTTAAATAATAGGCTGTAGAGGTGTAGAAAGAAAACAGGTTTCTTGGTTAACAACATTCATGAATGGACTGAGATATCAAATGGTGATAACTCTTATGTGGCACGTGAAGAAGAAGAACGAAAAATACATTCCTGGATTGGCCAAGTAAGACAAACTACTAGACAGCTACACGGACTGATGTGGAATAATAAAATAACAAAAGAAGTTAAAAGAAGAATTAAAAAAAAACAATAATAGAAAGTATTGGATATTACGACCGAAAGAAAAAATCAAAAATAAACTTGATGTAAAAGAACTATTGGAGACGATATTGCCGGCTTAGTAGATTTAATAGAGTGAGGAGCGAAGGTATTAGAAGAGAAATGGAAATTGATCTAGACATGCAGAGAATGTCTGAAAATAAAAAGCCAAAAAAGGATAGCAAAAAAGACCTCCATCTACTAGAAAAAAAGAGGTAGACCAAGACGGTTCTGGAGAGAAGATGTCGAAGATGCAATTACCGCCAGAGGTTAATCAGAATGTGAGAAACAACGCAAGCTGTAGAAGACAGGTCTATTATATCGTGGGCTTGGTGCAACAACTCACTAAGTCAAAATTTACATGTTTTGAGATATTATATCATATAGATTTTTGAACGAGTGTCTAAAAATACTTTAATTCGACCAAAAAATGTATTGATTCTGATAGCCAAGCTATATAGAAAATACTGAAATGTACAACTTGTGAGTCCGTATCAACTAAGAACTACAGTATCTTAAGCAAATAGCGAAATATAACAAAGTAACTGTGTTATGAGTTTTTGTACCTACATATAGCGGTGTAACAACAAACTGCAAATATAATAGGTAGGTATAGAAGATAAACAATTATGTGAATATAGTTTACAAGTATATTAGAAAAATATTCCAATCCAAATGTAAGCACAAAGAATATTAAAGCTGGTTCGCTACATGACAATACTGAAGGTACTTCACAAAACTTAACATAAGGGTAATTATACGTGTTCTCATTGGACTCAATTAACGCAGATATATTTGTAAAGTGGCACATTGGATAAAACACCTTACAAATTCCATAAAACTGGAGAGAAGACTGCCATACATATTGCTTGAAACTGCGGGAGGTAGCTATTTCCTAGCTCCTCAAATATCTGAGGGAGATGTTTTAGAATTTGATCAGTAAAAATGCTTACTATTTCTTATAAGTCTAGATTTTTAGGCAAAAACATAAATATAGGTTATATACAAAATACTTTCCCGGTAGTATTGTAGAAAAGAAAGAAATAGGATATATGTATCATATAGAGGAAATTATACGATAGGAAGACAGAAAACGAAACCAGGATTTTTACGACTCGGTAGTGAAAGATTAGCCTGAATGCAAGACATTTAAGACAAACAGACACCAGGCCACCAAAAAGACCGTTTAAAATTTGGCGGAAGAGCTGACAGTACATGCTACAAGTACAACTACAACTTTAAAATAAGACAAAATTCATTCATTCTAAAAGTGTGAACATAAAGGAAAAAAGGTCAGAAAAACTAGAGAAAATAATTTTCAAACAATGTTTAAAATATAAACAATTCTGCTTGTTCATTGACGGGTTAATACCTCTATGGAAGGTTGTCACACCATCTTTTGCGTGGTCGTCCAATACTTCTACCGATTGGTGACCTATCTCTTGTTTTTTACCCATTATCCCATTTTACTTATCCCATTTTGTGACCATTCTCTTATACACTGTATATGTCTTCACTTCTCTTTCGATGTCTCAGCGTGTTTCCTGTAATTCTTCTCAGTACTTTCATCTCTACCGTTTCCAGTATCCTTTGCGTTGTGACTGTATCAGGTCTTGTTTCTGAGGCATATGCCATTATTGGTCCTACACTGGCTTTATAAATTCTTGATTTCATCTCAGTTTTAATGTGTCTGTTTCGCCATATGGTGTTCTTAAGGCATCCTGCCAGTCTATTTGCTTTTTGTACATGATCTCTCACTTCTTTGTCCAGGTATCCATAGCTAGACAGTGTAATTCCCAGGTATTTTACTTCCACTACTTGTTCAATACTGATGCCATCAATCTATTTTACATCTAGTTGGTTCTTTGCTGACTATTATTGTTTTAGTTTTCTGAGATGAGATTGTCATATTAAATTCTTTTGCTCTTATGTTAAATCTGTGGACCAGTGTTTGCAAACTATCTTCAGCTTGGGCTATCAATATTGCGTCAACTACGTAACAGACGACGCAATTTCTTTGTTTTTGTTATATATTTCTTTGTTTCCCATTCTGTATCGTTTTCCTTTGTTAACGCTTTTGATGATTTAATCCATGATCAAATTGAAAACATTGAAGAATAGAATAGGTAGTAATATATCATAATAGCTCAGAAAAAATATAAAATAGAGAAAAGCGAAATAAAAAATGGAAAGTATCTAATAGCAAAAGTCAGCTAGAGAATTTGAAAACAAACAACTGGAGAAAACACTGCCAAATATATTATTAAAATTAAGATTCTTTACTCCAACCTAACAATATTGGCAATATCATTTAAATTCGTCTAATTTAAACAAAACAAAAAGTTACAAATTTTGTTTAATTTATTCATGTTTGTATTTTGGGAATAATTTCCGAAATGGAAATAGAAACGTCAAGAATACACTTATTTTAACTTATATTGTGGCATATTCCCAGCGAAAATAGTAATTGCAAATAATATTAAAATTTAATCAAATTAACAATTTAATGCACATACAAAGAACAATATTCTAAAGTAATAAAAATAATCAATAATAAAAATATAGCCTTAAGAAAAATATATTTATAATGACATCACTTAACTTATCAAAATAGTTCTAAGAACTTTTGTAATATTTATTTCAAAATAACTGTTTCTACAAGAATGTAATTAATGTTATAATTTTTAAACATAAATGTAAAAAATCCATTTTCGATGTCATTATGTAGTTCAACAATATTATTATTATTTTAAATATGTTATAAAAGAAGAGAGGTTTGATAAATTTCTGAATATTGATAAAGAAGAAATAAAAATTACACAAAAAAAAAGACAGATTAAGCACTAAATTGGAAACGTAAAGTTACTTAATTAACAAAAATTAAGCATGTGACTAAATTTGATCGGATATACAATCAGGTAATTAAAAAAATGGAAACGATGGAGCAAAAAAAGCATTGCTTTTATATATTTACATATTACGAGACATAATAATGAAGCATTATCCCAAAAAGTTTTAGGTCTGTAAACGGAAAAAAGACAGAACTTTGATGTGATTTAATAGAAAAAAAAAAACACAAAAATCAGTGGGAGCTAACCTATCGCAAAGAAAAAATCAAGTAGTGACTAAAAATATAATCTAGAAAATATTTCTTTGTGGAAAGTCAGTTTTTCTCAAAAAAATTTTTTGTAAGAAAGAGGTCTAAAGAGATTCTTTAAATAAAAAGAAAGATGAGACAATAGATATAAAATGATATTAAGTGACGAAATGGTTGAATATTTTTGGTATAACTATAAATATATTTTTCAAAAATAAAGTTAAAAATTTAATTATTTTTTTTTTTGTTTTTTTTTGCATTCTAAATAGAAATTATGTTATAAATACAGGAAAAATAACGGATATAAAAAATAAATCCACCGTGTTGAAAATACGATATTGAATTGAATCACAATAGAACTAAAAATTCCGAAACGACTAATTTAGGCAATTAGAAAATCCGGTTACAAAACGGTTCTAATTTATTATTAAATTGGTAGGAAACAATTCGAATATTATTGTCACTTATTAATAATAAAAATTCACAAAAACATCCTTCTCTTACCGGCTAATGTCTGTTGAGCCACTAAAACAAATGCAAGGGCTAGGCCCAAACGCAACGGACCTCTTCGACCCATTGTCGCACAGCAACTGAAGTTAATTATCTCAAGAATCTCCTTTATACTTGTCCTCTGACCTTTGACTCTGATAACACGGTGTATGCTAAATAATCGTTTTTAATTTCTTTGCATTTAAGTTGGTACCTCAAATATTTTCTTACTGGAGTCTATATCCAATATTTGAGTGCCTATTTCTATTATATTTTGAATATACAGTGTATGTGTTTGGGTTGTTTGTAATCTCATAGTACCTATGTTAGGTAAGCTTTAAACAAAAGGCACCAAGATATGTTAAATTTTAAAATTTAATTTTTGTTTTTATTTTTTAACAACTGTTGCTATGATGATGATAACATGACGTCGTGAGAACTTACATTTTAAATTTGAATTCACTTAGAAATTTTTAAAATAACAATCTGCTTTTCCTATATCCTAAAATATTAGCTTTTTGGGATTGTATCATCACACCTACAATTTTATTGTTGATAGCTTCTTCTTCTTTGCATCTACTGATGCTCTGAAGAGTTCTATAGAACTGAATTTAAACCAGTCCCTTAAATTCTTCAACCCTGACACTCTCCTTCTTCCTATACTCCTTCCTCCTCTTATTTGTCCCTGTATTATCAGCCTTGGCAGTTCATATCGCTGTCCTCTCATTACGTGTCCTAAATATTATAACTTCCTTATTTTTATTGTGTTTATTATTTCGTATTCTTTGTCCATTTCTCGCAATATTTCCGTGTTAGTTTTCTGCTGTGTCCATGCTATTCTAAGCATCCTCATGTAACACCACATTTCAAAGGACTGTCACTTATTTATGTGTTCTTGCTTTAATGTCCAGCTTTCAAGTTCATATTGCAGTATCAAACATATGAGTGCTCTTACTTTCAGTTCTAATCTAAGGTCTTTGTTGCAGAGAATTGTTTTCATTTTTACAAACGCATTTCTTGCTATTTCTATCCTGGCTTTTATTTCGGTGTTTGATCATTATTGTCGGAAATCCAGGTTGCTAGGTATTTATATTTATATATATATATATATATATATATATATATATATATAATATATATATATATATATATATATATATATATATATATATATATATATATATATATATAAATTAAAGTTTTATTTTGAGGATGCAGTCATTTAAGTAGGGCAGGATAAGTAAAACTCTTTGTTCTTAAATCAAGCTTTCGCAAAATTTATTTGCTTCATCAGGATATGCTAAAATATGTTATGGTAAATACAATGAAATTAGAATTAAGAAAAACATTGTATAAAACTATATAAAAACTTACAACAGGAGGTTAAACCATTAAATTATTAAATTCACAAAACATTATTAATTTTTCCTAAATTATATTTTTATGCAAGTACAATATTTTAATTTTGAATATATTATGACATTGATTAATAATCATGTTTGATATATGTCAGAAAGACACTCGTGTCTGTTTTTATTATTGATAATTAGCTCTAGATTGTTATTATGCTTACGTAAAAAGTGGCGCCAAATATGAATATTTAAATTTTTGAAAATATAGTATTTATAGTCAGAAAATCATATATTAGAAAATTAAAGTATTAATTTTCGTAAGATAGAATGTAATTATAGATATTGCTGAGTTTGTTAATATCAGTTTTTTTATTAACGCATTGATATTTATTTATGCATACCATTTCTAAAAATTCTCTTTTATTTAATTGGTTTTCACGTCTTAATATATTAGTTTCTTTAAAATTAAATGAATGATTATTATTAATTGCATGGTCTATTAATGCACACGTATTTTTATTATTTCTAAGGTCACTTTTATGTGATGTTAGTCTACCTATTAGATTTCTAGATGTGTGTCCGATGTATGACTTATCACAATTTTGGCATGGTATTCTATAAACTACATTTGAGCTTTCCATAATGTTAATAGGTGATTTAGTTTTTGTATATAATGATGCTAATGTCTTAACATTTTTAGTTGCAATTTTAATATGAGAATAGTTAGCAAAGACTTTAGTTAATTTGTTTGTTAATGTTGGTATGTAAGGTAGTGATGTGAAAGTAAATTGAGATTGCATGATTTGTTGACTAAAGTCTTTAACATTTTATTTATTTCTGTGGGAGGTTTGATCTTCTTAACAACTTCATGGTTATCATACCAAATTTCAACTTTTAGAGTTGAGCCATTTCCACCAACCGCCAGCCTTAACCATTGCATTAGCCAACATATTTTTACTGTTTTTATCTGTAATTTGTGCTGAATAATATTCTTCAAAATAGGTGACAATTGCAAAATCACCTATTTTTATTTCTCCAATCAAAACTTCATCTAAAATAATTATTATTGTAGAGTAAAATTAAGCAAAAAACCTAGTTACTTAAATAAAATGGTGTCTTACCTGAATTTTTATTCTCATCGCTATCTTTAGTTGAATCTTCGTCACTAACTGATCCATCTTTTTCTTCTTCTGTGCTTTTTTGTTTATTTTTAATGATTTTTTTTTCTAGGTTTTTTTATATTTTCCTAGCGCATTTTTTATTTTCTTCTCGTTTTATCTTCTTTTGTTCTAATTGCGTTTTCCTGTTCTTCGTCTTTCTTCAAAAAATATTGTCTCCAAGTATCGGAGGTGCCTACCGAAGGAACCTTATTTCGACACTTTCTTTAGGTTATTTTTTTCGTAGGTTCAGACCAGAACACTTAGTTTTTAAACGGGGATGGTATAACCACTCCTGGTAGAACACGAGAATGTTTATTATTTCTGCAAGTCTTCATATCTTCATCTTTATTGACTAATTCCTCTCTTAGTTGCTTCTCTTCAATAACAGTTGATTTTTCTGGTGTCAATTGTAAGGCTACTAATATTTTTTCAGTATTATTTTCCTCTTCTTTGGCCGATTCCTCTTTTACTTGCTCGTCTTCAATGATATTATTTTGTGTTTATGGAGCCAACTGAACGTTCCCTAATATTTCTTTACTATTATTTTTATTATTGACTGATTCCTTTGGTATTTGCTCGCTTTCAATGATATCAATTCGTTTTTCTGCGGTCAATGAAATAATTTCTAATACATTAATTTTCTTTCCTATAGCATTAGTTTTTTTTTGTTTCGTCGAATATTTCTTTCGTTTCTTGTCGATTTATACAATTGTAGGTTCCAATGTACGTTTGTAATTTAAAATTTGTTTGACATGAACCTTTATGTTAACGTTTAAACTGCCAGAAGATTGAAAGATGGTAATATTTCTGCTTTCTAGCAAAACATGACCTGATACGAAATAAATAATATTTAGTTATTACTAAAAATTTAGAAAACAACCCTTGTATGTGTTTAGTAATATGTAAATTTTATAATTAGATCTGACGGCAAAAAAATGTGTACTAAAAATTGGATTTTGCTTAGAAATAACAGTAATAAACTGCAGTAATATATAATAATAGTAGTAAAAATGACAATGTATAATTGTTGTACTCTTTTAAATTTTTTATTATCTGTAAGAAGACTTTTACAGTTTACATTTGAAAGAAATATGTGTAGACATAATAATATGTAATGATGTCGTCATAGCAAACGTTGTTAAACATAAAGGTTTACAAATTAAATTTGAATTTTTTAACTAGCGTTTTTTGTTAAAAATGAGACTTACAACCCAAACATTTACGTTTTTTATTCAAAATAAATAAATAGTGTATTGTTCTTGGAAAAAACAACTTGTTAAATGTGGATGATACCATGGAATGCTTCTCAAAATAAAATAAACTTTTGTGTCAAAACTCCCTTTATTTTAGTTTGTAATATTTTCTCAATTTACGTAAATGAAAATGTAATATATTAAAAAAAAACGGAATTTATAGTCTAGTAAAAGATCCGATATAAGAAAGACTTTCACCGATCTGTTTAATGGATAAAAATTATATTATTTGATATGTAATTTAGTATGTTGAAGGTTATAAAAAGCAAGATGTGCCTGATATAATTTTGTCCAGACTATAATTAATTAATAATTAAAAAGCTACTTTAAAGATATTTTAATCTGTACAAAAATTTTATTGTTCTAAATCATAAATTATAAATATTACATTTGTAAAACATTACTTCCAATTGAAACTGATTCTACTTCTGATTCATCGCAACTAAAATTTTCATTACTGCCTTCGTTACATTGGTCATCATCTTCCGACATTTCGAGAATATCTTGCGCTTTCAAAGGCGTTTGGTCCCCAAAAATCCTGTTGGTTTTAAATAATCATCTAAATGCCAACCACATCTTTCAGGCTGAAGTTTTGTACATTCCGACTTGCCACATGGAATTAACAAAAATAGTTTTTAAAATTTTTTATGTAAAGATTTTCAGCATGGTGGTATAGTGTTGGAGTTAAAACTTTTAATTTGTTACAAACACTGTTCGTTGCCTACTTTTGCAGCATAAGTTTGCATAAAAATGCGATTTCTTGAATCATATTCTCTGTTGCAGTTATTCTTCTAAATGTGCATATCTTCTAGAGATATTGACGACCACATTCACCCATCTTATCTAATCCAGGGCATCTCTTACCCTCAGTATTGCCTTGTAGAATAATAATAGTAATAATAAATGTCTTTATTAACAAACAAATTAAATTTTTCTTTACAATAAAATATAATAACAGTAGAGCGAGATTCAGTTGGTATACCACTGTGTAACACCTAACCCCCCGAAGATAGGATAGATAGACATTACATATTAAATTTATAAATTATAAACTATTTTTTTTTAATTCTTAAATTTTTAAATTACTCTTCAGCTAAGATTTGCTCATAAATTAATCTCTTGAACTTGACACTAGACAGTTTTTAATATTGTAGGACAAACTGTTAACTTTGCTAGCAATGGAATACTAAAATGAACGTTTAAAAAAGCATGTTGTATGTTTAGGTAAAGTGAGGGTATTCTTGTGTCTAAGATTAAGATTATGAACGTCTGTCCTATAATTTATTAGATTGTACAGATATGGTGGAACTCTCTCTTGAATGATTTTATGGTACAAAC